TAAAGCAATAAGCCCCAAGAAGCCGTGGTTTACAGTGAATTTATAACAGCTAAGGGGCGATGTTAGTGCCTAAAACCCCCTTAGCTGTTCTAAATTCACTGTAAACCACGGCTTCACGGGGCTTATTGCTTTTATAAAACGGTTATTCCATATACGTAGTAAGGTTTCAGAGCAAATAAAGTGTAATGATATTAATAAAAACATTATTCTTCCGCCAAACAATGTAGTTCCTCAGAAACAGTTGTTGTTGCAACAAAGTGGTTGCCGAGCAACACACAAACGTAAACAAAGGTGTATGTTACATTGTAGAGTAATTTACAACAGCTTTGAACGCGGCTCAACCAATCAGAATCAAGCACCGGAACTATCCGCTTTATAAATAGTTTTATATATTGTAAAATATATAGCCTCTATATATTACAACTTATAACCATATATATTTTAAGGCAAGACAGTAATAGATAATCACCATACTTCACCAGTTAATTAATCACAGTACATTACGACAATTGTCTTTTATTACAACTTTTCTGAAATGTTGTGTTTAAATGATGCATTATCTAATTACAGATGCACTAATTTGCATACATTTTCCTGAACACTGGATAAAGCCAGGATCAAAATTCTTGTTTGATTTTGTTGATATATTAGAGTTAAAGGTTTTCACAGGGGTGATTTTGGATTTCTCTTTTTATCACTCCTTAAATCAGAAAATACTGTCAAACGACAGAAAATATACATTTTCGCCATGTTTTAGGAATAAATGTTGTATAAACCAGTGTGAATGATATATGAACAAACCCCTCAGTAAAAACCTTCAGAATATAGAGAGGAATAAAACCCCTAAGTTTTGGTGTTTGTAAGTGCTGCTGAAGTGGAGAAAAAAAATCTAATTTTGAGAAAACAGCCTGAAACTTAAAGGCGCAAATAGATAAAGTGCAATAATAAAACCAGGCAAATGAAATATGAACAAATCCCTCAGTAGAAACCTTCAAAATATAGAGAGGAATAAAACCCTAAGTTTTGGTGTATGCAAGTGCTGCTGAAGTGGAGAAACAAACCTCACAGCCTTTAAAGATATGCATTTTCGCCATGTTTTTAGGAATAAAATGGTATATAAATCAGTGCGAATGACATATGAACAAACCCCTCAGTAAAAACCTTCAGAATATAGAGAGGAAAAAAACCCTAAGTTTTGGTGTTTGTAAGTGCTGCTGAAGTGGAGAAAAAACTTTTAAAGATATGGATTGTAATTAAAATCAACAGACGCAAATAGATAAAGTGCAATGAAATAAACACTTAAATGTGTATCTTAGATTTTTCTTCCACTAGTCTGAATAAGACAAGTTATGGAAGCAAAATAGACCAAAATCTCAAAAATTACCAGTGCATAAAAAAAAAAAATTTGATTTAGTCTGTGTAAAACATGGCCAATACTCATACATAGATATAAACAGGGTCAAAACACCATCAGGGTAACACACAACACTAAAATAATGCCATAAACATGAACAAAATAACAAAAATTGCAACACAAAACACCCTAATGTACATTACTGATGATAAAAATTTGAAAAGAAAAAAAATTATTTATATTAAATATAATAATATTGTTTCACACTGGGACTTCTGGGAATGTCCATCTACTGTTTTTCACCATAAAAAATATGGTAATTCATAGTTTTTACTTGCAAAAACTATAAAGTTCACAGTAAAATTACATTTTATGCTAATAATGGTATATATAAATTACATATGTGACCCTGGACCATAAAACCATTCATAAGGGTTAATTTTTCGAAATTGAGATTTATACATCATCTGAAAGCTGAATAAATAAGCTTTCCATTGATTTATGGTTTGTTAGGATAGGACAATATTTGGCTGATATACTAGAGGGAAATTCTCAGGACACTCATGTCAAAAACAAGACAAAATAAACAAATGGTTGTCTTTTTTCAATTCCTGGTCCTGCTTTGAACGTCCCATCTGGAAATCACATGCAAACTTCAGTATGTGTGATATCACATTGCCGTTTGGTAAATGTCAGTGTAATGTGAATCCACTGAAACCGAGCTCTTATCGTTTCATCAGAAGTCTTGTTTCATCAAAGACACTGAGAATTACCAGAAGACTTTTTGCTGCTTATACAAAAGCTGCAGGTTCAATCCAAATTACAGGTGACCCGTAAAATCCTGTCAACATACACACCTTTATGTCGTTTCCAAACCAGGGTGATTAAATTAACTAAAACCAAGTAATATCATTAAAAAAAAACCTTCATCACTTGAAATAAATTACAGATAAATGTTGACTGAATTATTTTTTTTTTAATTAAAATAAGTTTAATTTTTAATGTTTTATGTCAAAATTTTCTCATTTTCATTTCGTTTAACTACATGTAACATAACTGAAACTAAAATGAAAATCAATAAAAACTATACAGACATTTAAAAAGAAAATGTCAAAAACTAAATTATTAAAGTTTTTAAATTAAAACGAAAACAGAACTTATAAAAATAAAAACTAATTCACAAAAATTAACATTTTAATTTAGTTTAACTTGATGTACTAGAATAACTAAAACTAAAATAAAAACGAATAAAAACTATATAGATTTAACTAATAAAAATGACAAAACCATAAAAAATTACTTTAAAATTAAAATGAATAGAATATATAAAAACAAAAACTACAGTCTCTATAGTCTACTATAATAGTATCTCAGATAATACTAAGATAACACCGTTTCAAACCAAGTATTGTTCTTTCATGCAACCACAAAAGAAGTTATCAGGATATACAAGTTATATTCCGATCATTTCTTTTGCTCTTTTCCATTCCCTGGTGGCCACAGCTCAAGCTTCACAGTGAAAACATGTTCAAATTGGGTCTGTTATTCACACAAATGATGATCACATGACTTCAGAAGACGTGGAATATAGCGTTTAAGTTATATCAGCTACTGTTATGATATTTTATGCTGCATTTATGCTGCTTTTCGGAGCAACCCCAGTCCTCATTCACTGCCATTGTATGCAAAAGAGCAGCACAAGCTCCTCAGTGTTTCACAGAAGAAAGAAAGTCATACATGTTTGAGCTGATATGAGGGTGAGTAAATAATGACAGAATATTTTGTTTTTTGGGGGAATTAAAGCAATGCACTTTAACACAGATGGCAGGTGTGAGTCGGTTCAGATAAAAGAGCAGATGAACACAATGCACCATTGAAAATATTCGTCATGACAAACGTCTCCAGGTGTCAGAACACAATGCATGCGAGACAGTTTCCATTTAACAAAACTGCTGGGGGGGGAATTATGATTGTGTCTGTTTGTGCTGGGTGGATGAATCACCAAAACACACCAGTGCTATTTTAGTATCATTGAGATACTATTATAGTTATTAATATTTAATAAATACTTTGTAATACTTTTTACATTATTTTTTTATTTAATAAATATTTTGAATTCGTTTTTATTTTTTATAATTTTCCATTTTCAATATAATTTTACAGTTTTAGTAGTGTGTTTTTGACATTTTTATTAATCTATATAGTTATTTAAAAAAAAATTCAGTTTCACTTTTAGTTATTTTAGATCCATATTTTACATCCAGTTACACTAAATGAAAATGAGAAATGTTGCCTTGGCAACTAACTGAAATAAAATAAAACAAACAAACAAATTTTAAATGTCTGAAATTACTGAACTCATTTCAGTTAACGTTTATTTAAATTCAAGTAAATTAATTTCAAGTGCTATTTTAGTATCTGTAATGTACTATTATAATTTTTATTAGTTTTTATTTTTATGATTTTTGTTTTCATTTTAATCTTAGTAAAATTTTTAGTCATTTGTTTTGTCATTTTTATTAGTTTTTTTTTATATGTCCATATAATTTTTAGTCACTTTTAGTTATTTCAGTATCAAATTAAACTAAATGAAAATGAGAAATGTTGTAGCTAAAATAAAATAAGTTCATGTTATAGTATATTTCATTTATTCTATCTATTCTGAATTTTATTTATTATTTTATTATATTTTATTTATAAATTTCATTTATTTAATTTCAAGTAACAAAAATTATTTTCATATTAGTTTCATTTTAGCATCAATGAAAAACTATTAGTTTTTTCATATTTTGATATGATTGGTTTTCTGTTTTCATTTTAAGTTTAGCTAAAGTTTTAGTAATTTTGTTGATTTTTTTGTCATTTTCATTAGTTTTTATAGTTAGTATTATTTTTTATTTATTATTTTATTTATTTTATTATGAATTTAATAGTTTTCATATATTTTATTTTATTTCAGTTAGCACTTATTTTATTTCAAGCAACAAAAATGTTTTTAGCTTTTGTTTAGTGAAATATAATAACCATGGAACACGTCTAGTTCTCACACACAACATATTTCAGCCCAAAATCACGAGAAAAGAAAACGAAGCCTGTTTTGAGGACCATTCAAATTTTCTGCATTGTGAAACCTGAGCCAGAAACATTCCTAACAGGTTTTGTGAGATTCACTCAACTAGTTTGTGTTTGTAAATGGTGCAAACACACACACACACACCTTTAGGTCCTTCAGTAAAGTGTCCTATGATGATCTGTTCTCGTTCTCCTCCTGGTTTCTCTCTGTACCAGGTCACTTGCACCAGCTTCTCGTCACCCTCCACCGTGAAGCGGCAGGGCATCCGGGTCTGTGTGCCGGAGAACGAGCGCAGGGCCAGAGACGGAGACGGCTCGATAAACTCACTGTGAACACAGACTGAGACATAAAGAGACAGTGTGAACATCTGCAAACAGCACTGAATGGATTTACTATTAGACATGAGGTGAGGGCCGAGGACGGTTAATAATAAACCCACGCTATCATGATCCCTTGCTTTTGCCCTACAAACATGTCACAAAAAACCAAGGACGTTCCCATGCAGCGCAATGAGAGAGTTACAGATGTGTGACCGGTCCCAAAAAAAAAATCAATGCTAAATGCAAATAATAAAATACATTCCATATTGTTTGTTGTTCACATCAAATGAACAATTTATTTAACCTTTAGACAAAATTTGTAAAAAAAAAAAAAATCTTAAGTTTGCATATGTTTTTTTTTTTAAATCATATTTGTGACCCTGGACCACAAAACCAGTCGTAAGGGTAAATTTTTTTAGATTTATACATCTGAAAGCTGAATAAATAATCTTTCCATTGATGTATGGTTTGTTAGGATAGGACAATATTTGGCCGAGATACAACTATTTGAAAATCTGGAATCTGAGGGTGCAAAAAAATCAAAATATTGAGAAAGTCGCCTTTAAAGTTGTCCGAATGAAGTTCTTAGCTATGCATATTACTAATCAAAAATTAAGTTTTGATATATTTACTCTAGGACATTTACAAAATATCTTCATGGAACATGATCTTTACTTAATATCCTAATGATTTTTGGCATAAAAGAAAATTTTATCATTTTGACCCATACAATGTATTGTTGGCTATTGCTACAAATATACCCCAGCGACTTAACACTGCTTTTGTGCTCCAGGGTCACATATAACTCTAAACACATGATTGATGGAGAATCAAGTAAAGCTGAGCTGCTTCAGTCCAGTAAGTGTTCATCTGGAGATATTACTGCAGTTATTCTGACCTTTACTTGATCAAAATCAGTCAAGATTTGACACGAGAAGCTCCAGCTACAGTTACACTAAAAGAGCTTTGACTGGATAAAAAACTCTAAGTTAAGTCTTAAGTCTAAATCTATAAAATGAATGTCTATCAGCAGCTCAAATGAGAAATATTGAGTTAATATTGAGATCTCTGATATTTGATGGCAAACTTGGCAATCTTAGCACAGTTTGAGACACTCTGGAGATCTCTTGTGCATTTTTATACTCTGGTATTGGCTTTGGATTTAAGTTTAAGGACATTTCTGCTCATTTTGCATGATTGTGAACTATTTTGGGCCTCCAGTTCATGTCCAATGTAAAATCATCCTGAATCAAAACCAGATGAGAAACTCTGGACCAGACACTCGTCTTTCAAAGTCAACAAAACGAGACAGAAAGCAGAAGACAGTGAGGCATAGTGAGAGAATGTCATCTTGCAGTTCTGGTTATTGTTTGTTCTCGTCTCAGCCGACAGAAACACTCAACATACACTGACACGCCACATGTTTAAAATAACAACACATACTTCACACACACACACACACACACACTCATATACACACTTACACTCACTCACTGTCTCACACACACACACACACACACACTCACACATTCATGCAAACACACACTCACACATATACACACTCTCTCTCTCTCTCTCTCTCTCACACACACACACACACTCATGCAAACACACACACACACACACACACTCATATACACACTTACTGATTCACACACACACACACACACTCTCTCTCTCTCTCTCTCTCTCACACACACACA